AAGCATCAAGACGCAGGGTTTTTTTCACGGAAGATGAATGCATGTCCAACATTTCCAGGTAGAAGCTGGGATCTGGTTGGCGTCTTACAATCATTCCCGCTGGCTGTGGCAAAAAACTCTTCTCACCTCGGCACTGATGTGGCTGTCTGGGCACAGAAAGATATGCTTTTGCCGATGGGGGAGCAGCAGGTGCGCCTAACACTGTTGCATTGTTCTGCCACCCCACCCTATCCACGAGGGACAGTCAGAGACTAAAATAGAGGCTCGCTTTGCGGGTTACAAGTCAGGACTTCTCAGGCCTCGCATACCAGTGTTGTGGCTGTGGGCGAACGTGGGCGATTCGTTTAATTGACAAGCTCCCCGCAGGAGACTTGCGGAGTGGCTGGTCTTTTTGAAGGGAGCGAGGATTGTTCCTCCAGCGTCATGTGCTACTTTGGCCCCTTCTGTTCTCACTAGGGTTCCTAGCAAGCAGAGCAGAGGTAGAAAAAAAAGACGTCTTATCTTTCTTTTCACAAGAAACAAAACAGAGGCAAACACACCTTGACGTTATCTGAAAAAAAGTTACACAGACAACAAACAAGAATTATTGTAAATAGTGTACCCTCGGTTTTTTTTTTGTGGTGCTGCCCATCTGTGGGGGCTTTTCAACTCTCAGGCCCGCCTGTCGAAAACGTCCTCCGCGGCTGGACCTGTCATTAGCTGTGCCAAGCTCTCCGGGAACCGTGGCGCTCCGCAATGCGCAGTGCTTCTCTTGCAGAAACTTAGTTTTTTACTCCCCTTGGTAGGTCTGTCTGTAACAGTCCTTCAGTGTATGGGTCTCTTCATTTGGCGAGTGTGGTGGAGAGTCCTCATCGCACTGTGCCATGCTTTGCTTCGTATCCATGTGCTTTGAGGGGCACAATGAGAGAGACTGTAGGTCGAGACTTCAATCGCAGCAGCACGGGTGTTGCTTTTTTCAGCGGTGATGAGAAGCCGACCATGTCCTCGGCGTCCGTGATTGTCAGCTGGGTTCCTGAGAGTGTCTATCTCGGTGCGTTGCGCTCCTGACTCGCACTGAGTAGCGTTGCAGCGATAGCTTGTTGTTGCTCCAGGTGTAGCGCTCGGAGGGCACAAGTCAAGCGAGCCGTGTTCCATCTTGTGACCACATCCATGATGGAGTTATGTCGCAGGCAGGTTTAACATTCCCTGTTTGGTGGCCAGCACAGCTTGTGGCGTTAACTGCGGTGAAAAATACGGCAGGCTACGACGCCTCACCTCTACCAACAGACGGCTTGCGGTTTACGTTTAAACCCGCTTTTGAAGCGAGGGTTTTAAAGTGTGGGCAGAAACGGGCCTTGTATGTGTGGGGCCCCCGGGAAAACTCGGCCGATCTCCACCCGCTACATCCATATTCCTTGCGTTGTCTGTACGACAGCAATGCCTTATTATTTCGCGAGTCCCCACTCCGAAAACAGCAGATTTTAACACCTTCAGCAATGATTATAGTCCAGCTCTCTGATTTGAAAAGAGCCGCGTCTGCAAAACAAAAAGCTTTCTAATTCCCATTCGCTGTTCGAGTAACATGAGCCTGTGACTGTAATATAGCTCTGGTAGCTTCCGTGAAGTTCCACCCATCTGTTGTTGCGTATTGGAATGCCTCTGCTTCTTTGAGCTCTGTGTCACTTTAGCTTTTGTCTCTTGGTACAAGAGCGGGTAGCACTGTGTCGACTAAAGTATGGCCCATGAGTGGACATGGCATACTGGGCTCCAGCGGTGTCTTACATAACCCCGAAATCCTTACTGTTTCGACCACAGAAAACGGCCTTAAGTCTTTGCCATGTACCGCCGATGCACTTGTTATTTCCTGGAAGCTCTTGGACTGTAGGGGGAGTGGGCGCTCCAATACTTCTGTCAGAAGTCAGTTGGCTGGCTTAGATTTTCCTCGACAGTAGGTTGGTTGTGTTCGGAGGCGGTTTTCTGGGTCGGTGATGTGACAATGACCTTGTGCGGATGTTCGATGTGTTTCCGCGAATTGTTAGGCGACCGTCGCCCGAACAGGATTTGAAATAGTTGACGTTTGATCAGTGCTTTGTCACCTTTGGGTAACTTCTTGAAACGGGGAAAACCAAAATGTGCCACCACAACAGCTTTAAAAGTCGAGTAGGAGCATCCTCAGATTTCACAATTTCTATTGTTGGTCAAGCACGTTCTCTACTCCGTTCTCCATTTTCTCGTTGGGTCTGAGTGTGAGGGCGCGCTGCACGCAAAGGTGATGGGATTATTCTTGACTAGATATTTATTGGCGTCACTCTGCTGTTCAAACAAAAACATTACAGTTTTTATTACAGGGCGAGATATAAATGAATGAACGGGTAATTACCGCGGTTTAGATGTTTTCAGTCTCACGACGGTATTTTGATCCGTTTCATTACCGCGATACCGCGGTATTCGGTATATCGATTAAAGGTGATATTAATCCCATTCGAACTATGTCCAAATATCCCATATCTTTATGTATATTGTTGTGGGAATGGAAGATAAATGAAAGAAGGCGGATATATCCATTTAACATATGTAGCCTATGTATGTATGTTTATTATAACATTGTTCTGTGTGTCAAAATGAAAGACAGCCCACACATCTATCAATCATCAAACCGTGGGGTCTTATTTCATTACGTGTTGATTTCTATCAACACGTAATGTTGTATCGATGTATATAGAGATGTACTACCGCAAAAGTATTCTCCGTCGGGACTTCCTGCAACAAAACCACGCCGTTATCTTGATTCTGATTGGCCAGAAGACATTATCAAAGATGTTCTATTGAGAAGACGATCACTACGTGACAAAAGTTTTCAAAACCGTTTCTAGTCTTCGGTATTTCCAGACAAGTGACTACTGAAATCAATCTTACTAACTGCTGTCTGTGCAATTTACTCGGCGCGAGTTGGCGGACTTTATTTGGCTTACTTTAACATCATTTTTCATGGTGGGGCTAAGCCATTTCTTCGTATAATGGCTGTAGCCTACCCCAGCGCTGCCACTGGTGGGATGTATGGGGCGGGCCATTCTGCTCATGCGTTAAATGCGTTAAATATTTTAACGCAATTAATTCAAAAAATTAATTACCGCCGTTAACGCGATAATTTTGACAGCATTAAATGTATTTTGTTAGCGCTTTTATAGGTGCTCAAAGTCACTTTACAGAGGTAATAAAACAGGACAACAAATAAATATAGTAAAAGTCACATTAATATCGAGCAATAAAACAATCGGACATTAAAAGCCAGTTTGAAGAGGTACGTTTTTGTACGTTTTTTGAAGGTGAGCTTGTCATTCCTTTAAACTCCAAGGAGGAATAAAGGATGTTATCATGGATCACAATAAGAAATGTTAACTATGGCAACTATTCATATTTTACACTGCAGTTGAACTTGTATTCTATTATTTTTTTACATGTCTTATTCTAATTGAACTTGTTTTATTTAAATTTTATTCTCTTGGCTTTTTTAAATGACTTTCATTTTATAATGTGTTTCTATTGCACTATATCTTAAGAAGAAGAAAGAAGAAGATGGACTTTTATTGAGGGGGAAATTCAGTTAATGTTTTAAAGGTTTTTTGTAAAGTATTTTTTATTTCCTAGGTGCTTTATAAATGACATACATTTCTGATGTTTTTATTCAATGAGACTTACAATGAGTGCATAGAGTCACTTTAAACGTTTATCGATAGATTTTGATGATTTTCAGGATAGTATCGTAAACAGCATAATTTCCGACAGGATTATTGTGACCTTAAATGTCCATATCGTCCTTTGCCTAGGTAGAGAGCGTCAGACTGTACCTCTGAACTCCAGCCCCCTCAGCTGGAACGTGACCAGGCCGTTTCCGATCTCGATGAGATGGACCAGGGCGTTGAGGTAGTCAGACGCCAGGATGAAACAGTCCCCGGCGCTGTAGTTTCCCCATCGGCCGAGCATGAGGTCGCCACAGAGCGAGTGCTGCAGCGAGCGGGTCAGGTACTCGTAGAAAATGGAGTTTAGGTTGCTATCATCACACCCTGCAAGAGAAATAAATCAGGAGAATGTAATGACAGATAAAGAAAGGACAAAGATGGTACACAAAAGTCTGGTAGCTTCCTATGAAAATACAAATATATTAAATGAATATCAATATAGTAATGGAACAAATGATTATCCTAATTTATCTAACAAGAAACACTTAATATACAATCGCTTGATTTATAGGAGACAGCCAGGTATCTAAAAAAGGATGCACCCTGTATCTGATGTAGTAAAAAATACTCACCTGTCTCTTTATCCACTTGGGACACCAGTCGGCTGTTTGAGTTGTCAATACGCTTTGTGCTGCAAGAGACGAGAGACAAAACACAGTTAAAATCATATAGATTGTAGAACCCAAAAAAGGTTTAAAGCTATCAAACAAAAGGCTTTAATCCAAAAGCTTTCCCAAGAGTGTGTCTTGTAAAATAAGGGGGGTCAAAATGTGGCAGATGATCGGACAACAGCAAAATTACAATAAAAAAAGCTGATTAGGAAAATATATCTTATTGAAGTTTCCCTTACAACCATTTTTAAGTTTGTCAGAAAAATAAGATCTTAATCTGTTTCTTACTCAATTAAATACATATCATTTTAGTTGTAAAACCTCTGCAGCCATCAGGTAATCTTGCAACTAAATATTTTAAGACTCAACTATTGTGTTGGTTGTCATGTTCTCTTGGTGTTTGGCAGAGGTTCACATCAACAAACCTTTACAACTGCTGCCTAAAACACTAAAATCAGTCAGTGATTTTACTGTCACGAGTCTCAGACACCAACATCTAAATATAATCACACGGGCCGCTTCGTGTCAAACCACTGAAGTTTGGAGAACAAAGCTACAGGAGTATTTTTGGAAAGCTCTCAGTGAGCTGAACTACAAACATCAATAAGTTACAGTGGACAGAATAGTGTACGTTGTGTAAGTGTGAGCGAGAGAAGAAGAAGACGGTCGATCTGTAAACATGACTAACTCTGCTCAAAAGGATTGGCTCGATGTCTTCTTCTCCAAAAAATATGTAATGTTAATATTTTGAATGTATATGAAAGAAATCATCAGTTACAATTTCTAAATACTTTTCAACTTCCCTGCTGTGCCAGTGGCCTTCAAAGCCAGGCCCATTTATTTCTACTGAAGCTGTAAGTCTATTAAAATATGTCAAAAATATATACTTTTAATTATATAAAAGGTTCAATAGGTTCCTGAAGCAGTTGGGCACTGATAACTAAACTCAAACTGAATGAAATTTTTATTTTGCTAGTGACTATTTACAGCAGCAGGATGGGATTACAACATCAACTGCAGTGTGTGTTAATAGTGATGAATGAACATGCAACAGTGAGGCTCATTAATGTCTTCAATAGTTTTAACAGTTGATATCTGTGGCACAGATAAATAAGATATTGTTAATCAGCCTGGCTAAAAGCATGTGCTAATATTAACTTGTTGCAATATTGGTTTCAGTATTTTCATTGGATTTCTCGACACTTGAGCCAATTCTTCAAATAGCAGTGTGTCAGGATGTTCTCAATGCGATTCACAATGTGAGTAAACGGTTTCCACACACCTCCAGGCTGTTTGGGATTTCATACTACACTCGCTCACTCACACACATCGTCAGGGCCTTACTTGTAGTTTCTTTCCCAGAACTTGATGGGCCGTGGATAGGAGGAAATGAAGATGGCGCTGCCCAGGAAGGGAGCCAGAGGAGTGTAGAAGATGGTGGTGAGCAGAGTCTGGAGCAGCAGCATGGCAGAGTCTAGACACACACACAGCAGTCAAGGAAAGAGAAGCAGGTACTGATGGAGTCACACACACACACACACACACACACACACACACACACACACACACACACACACACACACACACACACACACACACACACACACACACTCTGAACTCACATTAGTACAGAGGGGTCGCTGCTCTGTCGGCTGAGGTGGTAGGAGAAGACCACCAGAAGGCCACAGAACCCAGAGAACAGAGCTGGTGTGTGCTGCTCATCCCACGGCTCCTGTAACACACACACACACATACAGACACACACACACACTGTGAATAATACCGCCGTGCACCACCAAATGATTTTAGCTCTTCACCCCTAAAACCTTCTTCCCGCAGTTGCAATCTTGTCACTTTTGAAGAATGACTAGCAGCGCTTTGTATTTGTTGCTGAAATTGCCTCCTCTTTTATTGGATGACCATGAGCCATAAAATGAGAATAGGAGAGGAGAAATGGCTATACTCACATCTCCTAACTGCTATATGCTCGGTTTTGTTTTACATGCAGTTCATTTGTACCTTGAGAGCTCCGAAGCAGAAACCGTAGAGCAGAGAGATGGCGATCAGACTGCGCAGGATGCCATAGACCGCAGAGACGAGACTCGTAGCAGCTGAAACACAAGTTAGAGAGAGGATGAACAAATGTGCATAAGGATTAAACAATGAGAGCAATGTTATAAGCGTTTACTCTAGTATTTGTCTTGTGTTTATATAATACTACTCTTGTTAAATCACTAAAACGATTTCTCTTTACTTGAAGACCCTGAAAATGTCATTTCTCAATCCTTTTGGTTTCACACATAAATACACTTTGGGGCAAAAGTAAGAACCATTTTGGACTTTACACTTGATATATTTTTCCTCTTATCAATGGATGGTAGTTTGGGCATCTTAAACTCTTATTGATTAACATCGACAAATATTTAATCTCATAGAGAAGATTCTCAGCGAATTGTATACAGTTTACACAGATTACAAACCTGAGCCTTAAATCCATTGATGCATTCAGAAATGACCGTTTACAGTAAACACAGAAAGAAAATGAACATCCAATTCAGATCTTGAGTCATGAACAGAAGCATTACTGAAATCCAACGATTAGAAACACTTTCACCAACCTGTTCCTCCAAATAAGTGCATGTCGATCTGCTCCAGCAGGTAGATGGTGAAGGTGTTGATCTGGGGGAAAAGGCCCACCAGGAAGGTGAGTGGGAAGCAGTAAGTAAAACCTGTTCAAGGCGAAAAACATGTATTAGTGCTTATTTTGAACAGGCATTAAAACAAACAATAAACTACAAGAAATAAAATATGTGACGTGTACTAGCAGCCTCAAAGCCGCCTGAAACTAATCTCAAATTGAGCTATATGTGTCTGTGTGAATTGTATTTATCTCCAGGTACATTTATCCCTACCCACTAGCAGGTTTCGTAAGAAGCCCAGTGCGTCGTGACAGGCGATGGTGACTCCGTACAGGGTGGAGACGGGCAGGTCTTTGCTCCTCAGGATCTGCTCCAGCAGCCAGATCAGAGCACAGAAGATGCAGAAGTAAGCCGCTCGACTGTAGGCCACCAGCTGGTTGTGACCCTGCAGAGAGTAGGAGGTTAGGATGTTAGTAACAGCAGGATAATAACAACAGCTAATGATAACCGCAATATTAATACCATTTTCGGTCACATAAGGCAAATCTTAAGTCCTTTTTATGCCTTTTCACAGTAACATGACACAAGAGCACTATAAGGGGTCATATCGTCTGTGGTCACATTGTTTGGGCATCAGTCAAAACCCAGCAACAATTAAAATTAATTACCCTAAATACTGGTAATTATAATGCAGGGCTAAATATTTATTTGAATGAATTAGTTTTATCCTTACAATGTAATATTTCCTCAAGAGGTCAAAGACAAGGTAACATTAAACTCACATGTGTTGGTGAAGCTGCATCCGGTTGAACGCTCTGTAAAACAAAACCACAGAGGCCAATGTTAAATTAGTATTTGTAAAATTAACATGAAAACAGTTTTGTACATCTGAGAGGAAGTAACCATCAGCAAAAATGAACTGGCAATGCATGAGATCAGTTTTTATGTAATCTACATTAGGTAGCAAACATTCTAAGCTCACACATGAATTATTCCTTAACCAAGATAGTTTTAGGAATGAAATGTTTGAAATAAAATAACACGTTTTAAAACTTTAACCGTCGCAAAACGATCACACACTTCAGTCGAACAGTTAAGATTCAGGTTAACTACACAAAGCTATGGTTGGGTGGTTTTTACCTTCAGTAATGAATACTGGCAGCTGGCGATGACCAGACAGAACTGGAAGACCCAGAAGTCTTTGAAGCAGCCGTGATTGAGGAGCACAAAACCCAGGAAGGACACCATGAAGGCCATGAAGATTGCCACTAGATTTTCAAGAAATTCCTGGTTTCTATACAAAAACAGCACAAACAAAGGCATACCTAATGAAGAGCATCATTCCTGAATAGTATTGATGATAGACATATATTAATGGATTGAGTTAATGCTCAACTGATGATTACATTTAACATATATGACACTGAATTATGACAAAATGGACCAACCACACATCTGGTGACTGGCTTTATACAGTATGGGTCAAATCAACTGGAAAATCCGAATTTTTTGAATTTCTTTCTAAGTTTGACAGAGAAAATATAAAAAAACTGACATACTATATAATAATATATAATTATTTGTATAGTTTACATTTGCGAATTGAATAACATGTATGATATTGGATTTTTAGACTTCAATACAAGTAGGTACAATGGTAAAAATAGTTTGTTTGGATTACCTGTCCAAAAGGGCAAGCAGGGTGAGTCTGTCATATAAAATGTTGATCCACTTCCCAGGAAACAGTTTGAGTTTGTAATAAATCTTTCTGGTGGGTTTCTCCTGAGTGGAGGTCTCTGACGACTCATCCAAAGAGTCCTCTTCCTGACACACAAACATAAATAATTAATACCTACATGAATTCATATGCAACATGATTTTCCATGTAGGATACTTCAAAACACAGTCGGGATCATCATAAGAAGACATAACAACATATTTTTCACAATGTGCAAAACACACACTAAGTGGTGCATTAATGATTCAGCAGAGAGTCTGTGTAGTTTCATCTTAAACAACTGATCCTGGCAGCGTTTGTCCCCCCTGCTGGTCTGTATGCAGCACTGATGTGAACTGATTTAGATGTGTTCATATGGCCACTGTTCCAAACATCAGCAGTTTATTTCCTTTTGTGCAGTTTATCAGAGAGAATACACAATAGTAAGAATCTGAAACCCACATTGTTTGTATGCGTGTTTGCTTGCTAACAGCTTCCTTGTACATTCCCTTTGTTGACACATTGCTACAATTCTTGACACGTTGCCACCCCCAACTATTGAGTAGTGCAACAAGTAGTGCAACCCGGAGAGCTGCGTATCACCCTTGTGCATTTACAAAAAGGCTCCACAGCAATTTTCCAGACTATTACTGGTCAAAACCCATAGGATTTAAAAGACCCATAACACATACTTCCATGCATTTTTCATTAAATAAACAAATCCTTTATTTAGTCTAAGTAACTCAGGTTTTTGAGATCATTGGTATGCAGGAAAAGAAAGAAAATGTGAAAGCAGATGGACACCTGGAATATCTCAGGGTGCGTCCTCCGGGGCCGGAGCCGGTGTGCCGGGATGATGCGTCTCTGGAAAGGGCAGTCAGCGTGACCCCCCGCCAGCCCGTCCTGACCCTCAGAGTTAGAAGAGGTTGACAGCAGGTCACTGGAGACACACAAACACACACACAAAGAAGAGGGTGACTTCTCTACTTAGGCAGTGATGGTAGTTCAGAATGAGATGCAAAGGAGGCAATATGGTAAGAGGAAGTCAAGAAAAGCACACAGAACAGGAAAAAGGGGATGGAAGAAAATTGATAGAAAAAGTTCATTTTAAGGAAGAAATAATGAAGAGTAGAAGGAAATATGTGTCAGCAGTACCACATGTTGCCAGTGATGAGCTCTGCTCCCAGGGGCAGGTTGAGAGCTCTCTCTGCGTACAGCTTACGAGGACGGTCTCCTGGTGGGACAAACACACATCGAACACGTTTCAGTGTATCATTAATGTGAGATAATGAACAAGCGGGTGATGCAGGATTTATTTCCAATTTTAAAACTACAGACAAGCATCTAACAAAAAAACTGAATTTGTTATAATTTATTCAATCTTTTTAAGCTGTTTTAAAAGTGAAACCAATCAGTGCTGTCACTCATACTGTTAATTTGTTTGAAATATCACCGCCCCAGCAAACAGTCTGAGGAGCCAACTCAAATAGACTGCTAAAACTGATCAGGGAACTGCTGCATGTGACTCATCTCACTTTGTTTCCAGCGCACACACAACATTACATAACATTTTAACTGTTGATTTTTCTTTTTGATGGCTGCTTACTGTGTACAGTATGGAAGGTGTAGGCATCTTCTTTGTTGGTGGCCTCTGGTCTGCAGATGACCTGCAGCATGGAGCTCTCTGAATGAGAGGTTTGTGAAGGCAGCGAGTCGTAGTCCGGATCCTTCTCTCTGTCCGTCTGTGGACTGCACACAGGAGAAACACTATAACTGGAGATGCTGGATGGATGACTGATTTCAGCACTGTGCATATTTTCATTGAAGTGTGTGGGTGTGCAGGCATGTGCACCTGTCAGGGGAGACTATTGGGATCTGTGTGGGTGGTATGGCCCACAGTGTGTCGGTAGGCAGACTGGTGGGTGGTTTGGGTCGTTCTGGCTTGTTTTCCGTGTTGCTCTCTGATATCGTCTTCTCTTGTCTGGAAGTCGCACTCAGATTATCTGTAAGCAAAGACAAATGGAAATGTTTTTGGTTTGAAATAACAGAGCTGATCTTCAATTGGGAAAAGCTTAAATGTATTTGTTTACATTTTCTATTTTCTACATGTTTTCCTTTGTTCCAACACAATCTGCTTTGGTTTCCTAGCATAGGTCTTGCTTTTTAGCTAATTTGCCTATTGATGTATATGAAATTAACCAAATACTTATGATTGCATGGTATTTTATGCCGCTATAAGTTGTTACTGAGCAGTACACCTTGCTAACGAAAATGTGTGCTTCTTAATTTATATAATTTGACCAAAGTGAAAAAAAGAACTGAGCAACTGAGTGACATCATGCAGTATTAGCTAAAAACACCACAGTCATTTGAATTAGAAAGAATAGTTAGAATCAATGCATTGTTATAACATATATTTATAAGGATAGTATTAGTATAAAGATGTAACCTTATATAGCTGATGGGACCATGCACAAAGAGAAACAGTAAGAACTGCAGTTCATAAAACGTTGCTGAAATTGCAATGATTTTTGCGTACAACTGAATAAAATTATGCATTAACACTGAATAACATGTAGATGATGAAAGGTAAAAGAACAAACCTTCTTTCTGAGATTCCCATTCCTCTGCAGATTCTGCTTCCTCTTTAGGTTCAGGCCCCTCCCTTTCCTGTGAGCTGGCCCCTCCCGCTCTGATACTGAGCGACCCCAACAGGGAAACAAACTCCAAGAAGTTGGATTCGTTGGGAATCTGACCCTCCTTCGCTTCCAGATCTGACTTTGAACTGGTCATGGTGTTCTGATAGGGAGACACAGAAATCCCTGAGGATTATAAAAGACCCCCATCACCCCAGCCACAAACTGTTCAGTCTGCTGCCGTCTGGCAGGCGTTACCGCAGCATCCGGACAAAAACAACCAGATTCAGAGACAGCTTCATCCCGCAGGCAATAAGACTGTTAAACAACTGCTGAAACAATTTCATAACATTCATCTGCTACTTAGTCATTATTTATCTATTATCTAATATATCATTCCAATAACTTGTATATAGACTCGTATTGCACTATTCCACTTTTTTTTCACTTTTTAAAAAAACTATTTTTCTTTTTTGTATTACTTTTAATATAATATACTTTAATATTGTTTTAATATTGTCTGCTTATCTGCATTCTTGTGTTGCATTGTTGGAGAAGCCTGTGACCTAAGATTTTCAACGACATAATTACTAGCTATGTTAGTTTGACAATAAAGAACCTTGAACCTTGAGATTTGAACTACAGTATGTGAATGAACAGATAGATGGAGATAACTAGAAATAGAAGACAAACATCCAACATACTGTGTTATGTGAGCGGTCTGAAAGCAGCACAGCATCTTTCCCGCTGTCCATGCTCAGGCCACGGATGTGAGCTCTTCCTCCGGGCCCGTAACGACCAAAAGCTGGTGGCAAACGCAGGAAACCATGTGAATCCACATTAGGGTCCAGAGGATCTGTGTCGTCGTGGTGGGAGTGGATGTCGATACCTGACGAGCTGTTATCATTGGTCAGCTGCGGGCTCTGTGTGCTGTCATCAGTGATCTGCACACCGAGGTGTTCCAGTTCTGGATCCGGACCCTCCAGTGTGGTGAACTCAGAGGTGGATGTTTCTCTACACAGGTGAAACTCTTCACTTTGGCTGGCTGTTGGTTGCTGTTTCGGGGTGGAGTCGGCCTCTGAGCCAGCTGCTTCTTCGTCCTCTTCCTCTCCTTCATCTTCCATCGCCAGCTTCTCCTTCTCAGGGGAGTCGAAGGTGATGACGGGGATCTTGATGTGACACTCTCCTGCATCTTTCTGAGCCTGGGAGGACACAAATGTCACACACACTGTATTATACAAATGTAACAACACCTAGACGTAAACCAGGTTATCATTTAGATGAATGTTAATCATGAAAAATAAGCTGAAAACATTAGAACAAGACATTGACGTTGGTCTGAAATTATGTTTACCTGTGCATTCTCTAAAAGGCTCTGCTTGACACTCTCCTCCAGCAGAGCAGCAGTCTGAGGGTCGCAGCTCATGGTGATGATGATCTTGACTGTGTCACTATCGACCAGCCGAACCGATGCCGACCCGGGGGCGGAGTTGTCTACCAGAACCACTTCAATCTCATCAGAACAGTAAGTCTCCTCTACTGGCATAGCCTTAGAGACAACAAAAAGGACAGATGGATTTGTACTCGTGTACAAAATAAAAACAATGCAATGATAGTTTAATCGCTTCTTTACCCCCCAAAATGTATAACAACTTACTTCCTCGAGGCCTACCTGTGCATGAGCTTCTTGGATGTCGATTAAATCCTCCTGACGGTCCTGGGTAAATGGGTTACCCTCAATTTCAAGTGAGTTGTTGTTTGCATCTTGGGACTCTTTTTGCCCCTCACTCTCCTCCTCGCTCTCATCTCCACTTCCCTTGGAGGGCGGCAGACCTTCATCAGCTGTTTCCCTGTCTGCAGTCTCTTTAACCTCACCGACGTCTTTTCTGCCCTGCTCAGAGTCTTTCTCTAATTGCTCTCTGTCAATCCCGAACATAGAACCCTGAATGTCTATTCCCTCTTCCTCAGTTTCAATTATTTCTGCGTCCATTTTCCCTGTCCCGCTCCCAGATCTAGGCCGCTTCTCTTCCCTTTCAGCCCGGGACGGGGTCCTCTGCTGGGCCTGCAGCAGGGGAGCGGCCTGGTCTGGATTGGGGCTGGAGAGGTCATCTGGAGAAGGGCTCGGGTTCAGGATTCCCTGCACAGGCCTCTCCTCTGCTGCACAATCACCCTGTCCTGGAACAAAACGAAATGAAAATTCGAATTAATTTGATTTAAGATGTAATAATAATAATACAATATACAACACAATCCTACAATACTTGAAATGGACATTTTGTATTCTCTGGAGCGACAACCCAAAAACATCCCTATTGTCTACAGCAGTATTTGCCAATCCCATCCTAGAAAATTGCAAATGCCAAAGGGGACCGTTCCTCCTGCTTTTAAAAACAGATACACTTGAGTGCAGTTGTCGTCTGAGGCCTTTTATCCCAGAGTTTGCATATTTTTTATCAATAAGCTGACTTTTTTTCTGACTCATCACCACTGCATTAGGTCATACATTTACAGGAAGCAGGCAGCTAATCTTGTTGTCTGGCTATTAGTTCTGCACTTTGCCGAGCACATTCGCACTAATGTCAGCTAAATGCAATGTAATGTAATGTAATGTAATGATGTGTTCCAGCACAGATTAACTGACTTGACACTACACAGAACACATGTTAACCCAAATGACATACAGGGCCTCAATAGTGACAAAAAACATTAGGACCTCAATTGAAGATGACCTGGGAGTACTGGCGTGCAAGTGGCTGTCTTTCCACATCCTGTATTCATTCTATAAGTGTTAACTTACCACCTTGTAATAATGTCAGAGTTATTTTAAGCATATCACAAAATCAACAGGATCTCTCTGAAACTGTTAAAGAAACAGCTCCAAGTAGCCCAATCATATTTGCCTTGATGCCAGGATTATCATGGTGTTTTCAAGATTCTTTTTCATCAAAGACAAACAATAACACAGAAAAACCAAGAAGATTAAGTTAGTGATAAACCAACAACATCTGAGTTACACCTGGTAAGATTACTGTTTTCTTTCAATAAGGTCTGGTGGCTTTGAAGATAGCATGGATGGATAAAACTTCCTCAAATATGGTGAGAACTTAAACTGATATTAATTCTGGCAATAGCAACCTAAAAACACTCAATAATAGCATCCACAGCGATTCATTGCTTAGCCTCGAAGACGTTACTCCTGTCTTTTTCTCTAAACTGAGGGCATGAAGACTGCCATTTGCTGTTTGTGTTGCACTGAATACCTCATACAACCCTACTCCCAAAAATATAATATATCCCTTTAAGAAGCCACAGCTGTCTCAGCTCTTCCACAGTCACTTAGTGGCTTGTCTTGTTTCCCACTCATTTATTCAGATATTTCCTTTGGTAGAGAGAATAATCAACATCACCTTCTGCAGTCTTCCCCTCGTCTGACTTCGAACAGTCCTGTATGGAGGAGGATTAAAAAAACACCTGATTAACATTCAGACATAATGTAGGTCAACCCAGTGTTTTCTGTACAGCGTGATTATTTTCTCAGGTGTCTATCTTTTAACCTTCACTCACCACCCCTATTAGTCCTGGGTCAGTTTCAGTCTGTTTCACTGTCACCTGGATCACCGGACTGGTACGTTTCCGAGCCAACATCGTCATGGCAACGCTGTCGGGGACTGTACTGCTCTTCCTATGAGACAAAGACAAGAGACGGGCGGAGAAAATAAATGATGAGGCGGAGGATTCAAAGTTGGGGAGTTTGTGGAAGTCAATACATAAACACTTTCAAATTAAATCATTTAACCTTCATTCCTAACCTCTGATGTTTTAAATACTTCAATCCAGTGATTTATTAGGATGAGAAAGCAGTAAAAATGTGTGCCTCTGCTATTGCTGTATCATCTCTCCACAGGCTTAGAAATATAAAAGAAATGCAGTCGCAGAGGGAACAGGAAGTGATACATTTGTCTCTGTGTAGATCAAGTGTGTCAGAGCGGAGTGAAGATCCCTGAACTCCCCTCATTACCTCATTCACCAAAGCTGTACTGAGCCTTTGAACTGAAGTGGAATGAGTCTATATCCCTCTCTAAAACACTTGATCACAAAGCCAATATGAGCTCAAAGAAAGGGAATACGAATACAGACATAGAAAAAGGAGACTGATTAAATAAAAAAAGTATGTCAACAATTGTAACACACTCAGTCAGTATGAGTGCAATTAGTCTAAAAAGAGGTCTCAGACCCAAATGTAAAATGTTATGTTAAATTATTAAGTAGTATCATTAGGGATTTATCCCTCTGGCCTAGATATGGTAATGACTAACTTGGCAGGGGAGCAGCTTGAGATACAAAGGGAAAACATTGGTTTGTTGAACGTATGTTGCTGTATATCTTTCTCAAAAGCCTCCAATATGAGGTAAAGTCAGATGTCTATAATAGTGTGAAAGAATATTTCAGCTCCCTTAAAAGAATCCCTCTGACTGGACAGTAGTTTAAGCGTTATAAGTGTGAGGGTTTACCTGATGCTGGTGGGCAGGCAGGAGTCCGAGGCATTACTCTTCTTCTCCGGAGCCTTGCTGAGATCAGAGAGGCTGCTGCGGACCACTCCCTCGCCCTCGTCGAACATCAGGTGCAGCCGATAGTTGGCCACCTTGATGAGGATGAAGAAGACGGTGATGGAGCTGCAGTAGATGCTCAAAGCCATGGTGGTAGGGGGCAGGGCCTGTGGAGAGGTAAGGAGACAGGAGCTTCATCATATGTCCACTAAAACAATGTTTGAACATCACTTCTCTTCTTATTAGTGGATTTCTGCAAAAGGTAAAGCTTATCACAGTTCCCGGAGTGAATTACATGCTCAGTGAAACAGAAGATCTAATTTGATTAACTGGTGGATTAATGAAGGTTATTGATCCCCAAGGGAGGAATGGCCCATGGGGAAAAAAACAGAAAGATTAAAGACCCAGTATCTGCATCATGCTCATACATGTGTCATACTGATCTACAGAGATGCTTGCTGTGTTTAAAATAGACACTTTCATCTTCTGTTACAGATGCATAGTGTCTTTTGTGCTTACATTCCTTTGTTATTCAACTTGGTATTAATACTTGCTGAGTGCTGCATGCGACCTTCTGATAAAATTGCTTGTAAACTTGAAATTCGAAACACCTCTCTCAGAAAGCGTGTGTTGTTTATGCACGGGAAGCAGTGGGTGTTTTCAAACAGACTTTGAAAAGTGTCAGTGACAACATTTTAATGGTGGCAACACACCAGATTAACTTACTTTGCCTCACTAACTCTCATAAATGGGTATCCAATTTGGGGTAGCCCACAGTTCCTATACAAATTAGCCCATGGATTATTCTGTTGACACATGAGAGCAGGGATATTGAGAGCAAACACATAATCTGTTTTATGATATGGAGAATAAAGGTTAACTGGTTGACATTGTTCCATTACAATGTTATTGTATATCATTGTCACAAACAATAACAGACAAGCTGCAATCAGATCATCACCCTTAGTACTGCACATGGCTGTTGTTGTCATCATACTACACAGCTAAGGTTAAGCTGTTTGACCCATAACAGCAACTCTATTTTTCATCCACACCATCATATGTATACGATGTAAATACCAGTTGTGCCTCCTGACTCTCACATCATCCAGGAGCAGCCATGCGTTCCCTGCATGCAGAGGAAAATACTGCGACAGTGCTGTTTTTTTTAGCCTATAGTACTTCCCCATAGCAGCATCCAGACAATGAGGGTGTTGGATAATCCAGGATAAAAACGCGCATGAAAAAAACGCTACCTATGGCACCGTGAACATCTCACACCCCCTGAGAGGCCTTGAACGTCATGTTCCCCCATAATAGACTCACCAGATGGAGAGACAGGGGCAACATCAGGAGGAATATCCACAGATAGAGGTGGCAGGAGTTGTTGAATTTATTCTGGTCCGGGTCGTGGTACCAGCCCCCGGTCACAGATGCCCACACTCCCTGACGCAGGGTCTGCACAACCTGGGAGCCCATCTCTCCTGCTGTCTCCTCCTCTCCTCCGCTCAGGCTGGAAGGACGGATGATGCTGCTGCTAGGCTACAATGGTATGATCTCATTTAATGCATGCTACTGTCGCTACGCCTCCATGTTGGGGCGATGCAGCACGTCTCCTGATCCTTCTCTCTCATGCCTCTTCGCTCTTCCTCGGTGGTGTCCTGTCGTCTGCCGTTTCCCATCCCATTGTCGATTCGTCCATTGCTGCAGCCGCGGTCCTCATCTTGTCCTGTTCGTCTCTCTCTTTCTCCCTCTCCAGCACAGATGCGCAGCTCCGACCGCCTCCCCTCCCCTCCCCGCCTCCTCCCCCTCCACCCTTTGCTATTATATGAATCACACCTTCAGTGTTTATCTGACACACGCTGACAGTTTTCAGTATAAATCTGTCATTTTCTGTCATATACTAATCTGTGAATAATAGCTTGACTGTGTGTTGACTATAGGATATATAGTGTACGCATGCACACGTGTACTGTTTTTCTATGTAGCCTATTGTTGTTGTGGTTAAGGTTGTGTATGACATGCATAGGAAACAGCCGAATTCATTATGAAACCACGATATTAGGCTATAAACTAAGGAAAGGCAGATACATGTCTTTGTTTGATCGAGTCCAATATAAAAGAATGAACGAATACACATAAAGTACAAGAAAGCCTACAAAACAGATAGCATCTATGATACGTGGCCTACAAGGTAAAGCACAACAAATGGTGGAGTGAATAAAAGTGGTTTTATATTGCATTATTATTATTATTATTATTATTATTATTATTGTTATCAGCAATAGTACATCATAGGCCTAGTATATTTTTATGTTTGATGCTTTATCTATTTATTAGGATTGTTTTGTCTTTGTCTAGCAGCATGTCCATCTTCCTGTAGGTCTGCACTGTTCTTGTCACAGTGTGTGAGGGGGTTATACTGAGAGCCACTTGACAACAGAGTGAATTCTTTGTGTAGGCTACCTCAATAGAAGGCCAAAATAGCTTTAGTAGTAGGGGTAGTAGTTATATTTTCACTTTGAAATTGTTTTCTTTTTCACATGGCTGGTGTGTGCATTCGTGTGTGTGGTGTATGTGTGTGTATATGTTTGTCATTTTATAAAGTCCGATATTCCCATAATTTCCCTGAAGGCGCGCTCTCCTCACACATTCCTATAGTAGCTCCTCCCTCCTCCCCCCTACTGCTGCTGCGGTCACGTGTCCTGTAATCCACCAATCAGAGGGCCCACAGGCATCAGTGTGAGCAGCAACATCAGCGTCCCCCTGATCCTCCGCACAGCAATGCTGGGTCCGACTTCGTCTGGTGACAACTGCGGTGGGGGGGTTGTTTTGATAAAAGTTGATGGATTTTCCTAATCAAGTTTGTATTACCACATTCTTGCGTTGAAGTCCAGGATGTTTTTGGTTCTTTCTAGGTGTTCAACCGTTGGTCTTTCTTCAAGTCGCCGAAGGACAAACAGACGAACGTTGGAATAACCGATCTTAAAACTTTTTTCAACTGCCTAACTAGTCAGTGGACTGACCTATGCTAAGCTAACCCGCCAGCAAAAGCAGCTCAAAAACGTGGTAAAAGTCCTCAAACGAGCAACATAACTTTATATTTCGGGATTCGTTGACTAGATGAGATTTGCTGGTGACTTTGTGAGAGAAACCTGCCTCTCGGAGCCTCGCTTTCGCCGGTCTGAGTGGACGGTGCAGGTGCACCTCTTGCGGCACCTGCGGTAACGTTAGCTCCATCGGTACTGAGCTAGCCTTAGCTTGTTAGCATTCAGAAGAAGCAGAGACTATGCTGTGGACCAGTTTATCTCTCATTGCATAGATTATTTGAGATTTAAGCCATGAGGTGTTAGTTACAAACGTTATACTGCTGTTCAACCCTTTAAGTAATGAGAATAGCTGAAACATATTTCGGCTAACCAGCAACCTCGCTAGCAAGTTATTGACCCTCATACTTTTTTTTTTTTTACCGGAGTGGCGACGTGGATAAGGGTTGTGGACGCTCTCTCCCACAGGACTTTGGACACGGTTTGATCCTCTCTGAAGGGAATGCCCCTCTGTTCTCATCAGCTAGTCTCATAGATGTGACAGCATGAGGATTTCAAAAAGTTACATTTTACCGTTTTAAAGTTTTGCTCTAAAAGCTCTGCACCCTATGGTGCCGCTACGGCCACCGAGAAATGGATGCCTCGCAGGCCGCTTTCCCAAACGGTGAAGGGCGGCCCGGCGGCGGTGAGACAGGGGAACATGCCTGGACAGACTGCCCCACAGCCCGGGCGTGGGCTCACTCTGCTCCGCTGTGCCCGACCCGCTCCCTATGGACGGCCGCGTATGACTACGAGGCAAGCGGTGAGGACGAGCTCAGCCTCAGGCGAGGGGACGTGGTGGAGGTGCTGTCCAAAGACGCAGCGATCTCCGGGGACGAGGGTTGGTGGACGGGTAAAATCAACCACCGTGTTGGGATTTTCCCCTCAAACTATGTCACCTACCAGCCGGCTATTTACCGTATACCTACTACGAGTGGGTCTGTGGGGACACGAGAAGTCCCAAGCGCACCCATCAATATCCCCTTCAGTGAACTGGTACTAGAGGAGATCATCGGCGTGGGTGGATTTGGCAAAGTTTACCGGGGCACATGGAAAGATCAGGAGGTCGCAGTGAAAGCGGCTCGGCAAGACCCTGATGAGGACATAGCAGCCACCGCGGGCGGTGTTAAACAAGAAGGGAAACTTTTCTCCATGCTGCAACACCCCAACATTATTAAACTGGAAGGAGTGTGTTTGGAGGAGCCTAACCTGTGCCTGGTCATGGAGTATGCCCGAGGCGGCACACTGAACCGGGCGTTGACCGGAAGGCGCATCCCTCCACACATCCTGGTTAACTGGGCCGTACAGATTGCACGCGGGATGCTCTACCTACACGAGGAGGCCGTGGTACCCATCATCCACCGTGACCTGAAGTCTTGCAACAGTAAGCCAAGATTAAAGTGTGCTTGATCGTATGTGTTTGGGACATCAATCATGATGAATAACCTATTTACTTATAGAAGAAAGCCCTAATTGGGGGAATCCACCTGTTGCACATGCATCCCTTCCTATTTTAGGCATACTATAACTATTAATAGTTTGTTCATGTTTGCTTAAGTTTCCTTTAGTGTTAGGTAACTATAGCAATTATTTAAGGATAACTCCTTTTCAGAAAAACTCTACATGTCAACCTGTCACAGATAGGATTGTTTAATATCATACTAATGACTTGGGGCATTTGGAAATATTTACCTCATGCTCATATGTTATTAGAAAACATATTTCTGCTGAAATTCACATATTTCACAACACTGCTGTTGCAGCACTGCCCTTTACTCAGGATGGATTTAAGAGGTGTAAAAGGTCTGTGTGGGTGTATGAAGTGGTGGGGGATACCATCAAGAGGATGTGAAATAAAGAGTTTGCTCAGCTGGGATGCCTCCCACCTCCCTGCATTCAACCTCTCCTCTTTTAAAACACACACACACACACACACACACACACACACACACACACACACACACACACCTTCCCAGCCCCCTCTCAAATCCAAGCTGAAATGTTGTTCAAATAAAGCCAGTGATTTGCCAAACACATAGTCAGACACACTCAGTCCACACTATGAGGCCATGTGCTTGACCAACCAGAGCTAATACCAGAGGTCATAGGGTAAAAAGAAGTCAGGCAGACAAACTATCCACGTTTAATTATAGAGAAAACCCTTCTCTCCAGGAGTGTATGCCAGGCATAGTTTCACAATTAATGCAAGTGTTTATAATTAGAGAATGATAAATTAGATTGAGACTCTTGAGGTTTGTCTCCCTTTTGAATAGTCATGTTGTAAGAACTCGGCTCTGTGCTTGTTCCTTCATGGACTGTTCAGTGACAACACGCCAGCACACTTTAGTTTCCCAGGACTGAATAATGAATGGGTAGGACTCTATGAGAAAAAAGAGTCTGAGTCATATACCCACTGACACAGGCTACCCACTTCAACTCAGGTGTGTTTATGTGTGAAATATGACTCCAAAGACTATTTCTCCCTTTGTGATCAGGGACTTATCAACCTGGGGACATGTGGGGAACCACCCCGCTGTCTGTTTATCTCTAGCTTTGAGTGCCGATGTGTGAATGTAGAGATAAAACATGTGAAATGTGCACCAACCTTAATCACCATCAAGATATTTGGATTGGATTTGAAAAAGAAAAGAAAATCCTACCACTGCTTCAATAGAGGATCCTGTTTTGATCACCCACTTCGTACACACATATCATATGCCCACTGATTATATGTGCTGCAACATGTCCTGAACACATGGTTATCTTCTCAGTTAACAAACAGCAGGGATAGTGAATGCAGTGTTTACAGTCTGCTTATATTCACAGAAAAAGTAAGTAAATTCTGATAGATCTAACAAATAACACCTTCCAAACCCTAATATAAATAATTAGGAATATATTTGGAATACAGTGAGATTCAAACTGATTAACTCTCTAAAATGAAACTTTAACATAATTGTATTATTATGTATTACTTTAAAATAATACATATGATGCCATGTAATGAACAGTGCAGAGGAGGAGCCTAACCCTATAGTCTTATTTAAGATGGCAGATTTGTGTTAATTACAGTCTACAGCAGATGGAGAGAAAGGATTTAATTACCATTTAGACTGTTAAAGCTAATCGGATGTTTGGTGAACATACACAAACAAACTCCCCCGAGCAGGCACAGTGCTGCCTTCGAACACAAGTCAGTGTGTTTGTCCTGCCACTTCACTGTGACATAGAGACGGCATGAGCTTTAGGTAAAGAGGGAAACCTTAAAATAAAGCTTAGAAGAGACCATTGTGCTCAGCTTATTGCATTTCTGTGCAGTTTTAAGTCAAACTTGGGAACTCAACAATGTACCTTAAGTTTGTAGGCTTGTTGAATACATATTCGTTTTTATGAGTTCATTCTTGTCTTCACTGCTAAGCTGTTAACCACAGAATTAGAACAACAAAGTTCAATTCGACCAACATTGTTCCTAGTTGCAGGTTGTAGCTCGTCCCAGGGTCAGAAGTCTTGAGTTTCTGTAGTCAATATACGGTCTCAGATAAATAAAGAAAGAATGAAAGAAGCTGCATGTGTTTGCTTTGAATCAGGGCAGTGAGTTCACAAAAGACTCTCCTACACACAAACACACACAAATGGCACCCTGTGGTGTGCTGGGTTGTTTCCCCAGTAAAAACCTAGAATAATGCAGCTTAGAGAAGTTGTTGCATCTGCTGGTTAGGGCCTGTTGTCTGCTTCTCTTGGCATTGTGTGTGCGTCAGTCTGAAAAGATAAAAGGACTGAGAATTATCTACGCAGGCGGTAAAAAGAAAAATGATACATTGCAATAAGCGCTTGTTTATCAGTAATCTGTCACTTTTCAATATTTAATGAGCAGCATGTTTGTTGGCTGGGCTGTGTGTCTTTTCTATTTTGGTATGAAGTTGTTTCTCTCTAGTGTTTTTCCTTAACCAGCCTACAGACAGGTACATACACACATCTACACTTCTGCACCTTCACTCAACCACTCGGCCTGCCATTTATCAACTTGCAGTGTACACATGCTCCACACAGTAAAAACATACAGCTATTTGATCAATGATTAGCCTGTAAAGTAATATGTTGGAAGTCAGCAAGATTTGTCCAATCTCTTTTGTGTTTTTCAACCTAATCTGTAAAATCCCAGCCTGCAGGGAGGAATGTTGCTAATGAGGGATAAAAGCTTAACATACGTTTGCACAATGGACTGGTCAAGCAGCGGTTGCTAGGCTACTGTGGCTAGAAGAATGGCTAGGACTCGGAGGGTCTCAAAGCCCTCGTTTTGTTTTGTTCCGTTCATATTTAATCTCCCAGAGAGCAGCGGTACTCTTTTATTGCCACAAACTGAGGGGGTTTCCTTCTTACTTCGTTATTTTTCCCCTTACTTACCTTTCTCCTGTTGTTCCTTTATGCCCCTCTTGCTCCTTGTTATTTTTCATGTCTACTTTTTGGCCAATGCAATTTTTTAACTTTAAATGGTTGCACACTAACTTTAAAAAAAAATATGAATGAAACTTACTAAACAAGTTAAACCCAACATGGAATACTAAAAAGTATTAGCAAATTCCTGTGTGCCGTAGAGCTCAATTGTCAACCAAACATGACTGGTTACTAATATTGTTGTACGGGTATATTATCATATTAATTCATTAAAAGAAGTATTAGTAATGTAGTTTGTTTTTGAAATGTTGCCAAAATGGCTACATGTATGTCAGATGTCACAGTGCATGCTCAAAGTTGTGGATCCATGTTTTCAACTTTTTGCTATTTTGACCATAGACTGCGATTTTGACAAGCTTCGAGAAGTAAACTAGAATTGCTATGATAATTCGTAAATAACTTGTCCCCTAAATACAATAGCATGTCAGCAGAGTATGGACACAACACATTACATATACATTCTGAAAGCAGCCTTTAAAGGAATTTGTTTTGTTATCCTAGTCATATCCATTACATCTTTCCATTGATCCTTCCTTCTTTGCAATCTTACAACTTTGATTCAATCACTCCCCCTAAGAGTAGACGTTTTCATAGAGCAGTAGATAAGAAAAGAAATCTCACTGAAACCTGACCCACATTAACTTTGGAGTTTCACATCTTGTTGCGAGCGATAGTATGTCAGGAATGTGTGCCAAGCGCTATTGAACCGTACGGCGTTCAGTTTGGAGCGTGTGCAGCAGCATTCTCCCATCAATCTTAGCTACTGTTAGACTTCATCACGCTGCATCGGTGTTCCCCTCCCTCTTCCCAGGGCCTTTATTTACTCAGCCATCACTCTGTAGATTTGTATTGCAAATGTTGTCAATGCACTAAAAATTAATACAGATTCCATTAATATATGAAGCACATTCAAATCTAATTAAGACAAACATTTTGCCCAAATTAAGAGAATAGAGAGACACTTACTATCGGTTAATAGCAGTGCTAGCTTATTTCCCCTACTGCTGCACCGTTATGCATTAATGTACTGAAGTGTGATATATTGGTGTTTCCCTGTTGGGGAAACCCTGTTTTTTATTACTGGGTCATCTTCCTCCTGTTATTTCTCCGTTGTCTTGTTCTACGTCTGTAATAAGTTGAATTTAAGAGGAAGCATTACCAAAGCTTGACTAGGTGTTGCAGGGCAACTTTTCTCAGGCTTCCCACAATTACCCCTGGTGACACACAGACAGTTACTGCCTGTCTTTTCTCTGACCAGAGAATGGGCAGAGGGGAGAGAGGAGGAGTGGAGATGCTTTCACTCTGTTTTTTATGACCTCTCCCTGACTGCACCTATTGTTGCAGGGCAGGGTGAAAAGGAAAAGGGCCCACAGCTGAGAATAGCTGCCTTCTAAAGCAACCAATCCCCTCCGTTTGCTCTCTAGCACATTGATAGATGCTTACAACAGCAAAAGGTACTGGTTGTACACCTTTTACCATTTGTCATGTTTTCATTTGCTTACTTATGGGTCAAGCTTAAACTAGCAGGGGAAGAGGCCAGACAAAGAGCAAGTGGCCCAGAGAGACGTGACCATGATAGATGGATTTAGCCAGCCATTAGCTCTGATCCTTTCCCGTCAACCAGAATGCCTGGGGGCGCTCTCATTTCAGCCGGGAGAGACGGACCAGTCGGGGAATGTTTTGAAGCCTTGTTTCTGCTTACTACAGGAAGCCCTCTTACTCTCATGCTCAGTCTGTTGACACAGTTACCAAAATACTGCCACGTCAAGTTAGGAGGAATCACTCAGGATTTCTGCAGCAACCATGTTGCATCAATGCTTAGTTATGCCACAAAATGTTATGCTGAATGCATGCTTTGATTTGAAATGAGTAATAGATTAGTATACCACTTTAAAGTATGTTTTTTAAGTTATATCATAGGGAGTTCCCAGAGCTCTGCCTGTTGCTAAAGATACAAGTGGTTTAACCATTTTAACTAGCGTTTCGGTTGTTTTTAAATTCATTCCTCAGTACACAAGACTTGCTTTTCTTAGCTGTGCCTATTTGGTATCATACAGTATGCAAGAGTTAAGAGATGTATTGTCTTCTGATTGGGTAACTGACTGCAAATGTGCAAATATCTTCCGAAACCTTTTTTTAAACATGCTCTTCACTTTCATTTATAATTTATGGTTAGTGGGATTCTAACTGCCGCAGAGTTGCAGGGCGTTAACATGTAGGTACTTTTAGTTTGTTAAAGATAAAAGAAATGGCCATGTTTGCCCAAAAAGAGTATTGTTTTACTGTTTTACCTCGAGGGGTAGAAAGCAATGGGAAGATGCGTGGGATCTGCTTTGAAGGCAGCAGCTCTGCCTCTGATCTTCCCACTGTTTCCCCATGAAGGATGGGACTGCCTGAAGATCCACTGTTTGAAAAGGGAATTAAATGGGGGCTGGACCGAGGGTGGGGTCTGCCTTCGAGGCATATCCATCTCAAGTTGCATCGAGCTGTTATTAGCTAAAAAAAACATTATCTTTTCAAAAGAATGAGAAAATACAGAGTGAGGGAAAAGTACGGAAAATAACACAAGACATTTGTAAATGCAATTTACAATGGATAAAATGATCTTAAATCATACTGAAACTAAACAGGTATCAAAGAACACTTTTAACTTTTTCAGCTGGCAAACCAAATAGTCGAACATAATCATAACGTGATTGACAGCTACATACCGTTACATTTATTCCAGAAAACTTAACTTAAACCTATCTTGCAAATCTGGATGAAAGATAATAAGCTTTTTCATCAATTGACAAGTTAGGTTACTTTAAAAAATAATCTAATTTACCAACAATTTTAAGACTTTTGTTGCATCAGAATCAGAAATCATTTGTTCGTCCTACGTTGGCACCTTTCTGCATTTGCTTTAACCTATGGCTATTTGCTTCCATGTAACAGTGAGAGTGCTGTTCATTCTCTCTTCAAACAGGCCTTGAATTCTCTATAGAAGCACAATAATACCAAAGACTGATGTTGTGCATTTGCTTAGCTCTGAGTTGCAGTCCTAGACACAGGTAAACAAGCATTGGCTATGTAGTGAAGATCTGTTATTAGCTTTGATGCTAACAATGCTAAGACTCTGGTAGCCAAACAAAACAGCTAGCTGGTTTTGTAGCATCACGTCAGCATGGAGTCAGGTAGAGAAGTCTTTTATCATACATTTCTAGAGGGCTGACACGAAGTATCATGGCACTACAAAGAAAGTATTTGGCATGATATTCTATAGGCCAATCAACGCAGACGGGGTTACACCAAAACCACTGTTCTTCTAGGTTGTGTAACCAACCCATCATAAGTGATTCTAAACCTACTGAGCCTGCTGGGAGGAATCTATGGAATCACTGAGAGAGGACTTGACAACAGGAAGTAGAAGTATATCATTGGTGTTGTGAAACCTGTTTGTAATGGAATTCCTATTGTTGCAGCCTGGGTAGAGGATCCCCTCCGTGCCCCGGGCTAGTAATGGCACCAAAACCACTGTGATTAGTGGAGACCCATCGCAGTCAGACTACAGCTAACATACTGCCTGGAATCATTTCACAATCTGAAACAGTGTCTTCAATGTGTCAACAACAACAACTTGTTTTCACTAAGTTGGAATTGTCCATGCATTTGTTACTGTTTAAAGGTGGATCTGCTTTATTACAAACGAGGTGGAGGTTTACATATTTATAGTAGAAAAAAACGAGCACTGATATACGTTCAGGGATGTATTTGGTGTCGTACTGAAAAGTTGGAAATCAGCACAAGTTTATTACTTTTCGTCACACACAAATATCCCTGTGGAGCCTGTTTCTAGGTCTCTGCCAATTTCTCCCTCCTTACTACCCCTCCTACACCTTTTCACTAGTCCTGTTCCAGTCTTGACCCATTGTTTTGTTATTAATGCAAGGAGTCTTGTGTGGATTCAAGATCTGACAGTAGGTAAACCATACTGTACCAACTGGGTGACAGATGGCTAAATAAAGAAGTACGGTAGATGTATGGCTGTGATTAAGAATTTTAGAAAAAGTTTGTCTGTGCATATGCTTTGGCAGCTTTTAGTTTGGTACTGTTGTGGAGGAGGAAGTCCAAGGTCAGTGATTGATAACAACAGCATATTCACAGACACACACTTCCCAGCGCCTCTGTTAAAAGCTGTTAACAAATAGCCTTTAAACTGATAAACTTGTTCAAGTATCCCTTGTGATACAGTATGAATGCCTTGTAAGTTTATTCCAGTGCTTGCACTATGTATCTTTATCATTCCACCTCTTTTTTCCCATGGGAATATTACCAAGGGAGTGTATGTGTCAGCAAGCTTTGTTTTAATCCTAACTGAGTGCCTCTTGAGTCTCTCAAGTTGAAGTTTTTCTGCTAGCTTTGCACACAACACAGCTGATAGGACGAGATCCAATTGACCTGAAGTGTTAGGTCTGCATGTAAATAATGAAAGGAGACGGTTTGTAACGTAAGGAGATCTTGGCAGAGGGAAAAACAAATGCTGAAAATAATACCAAGAGGATTAACAAAATCCAAGAGTGTTGAGGCTGTGATGCACCACTTCATGGAAGGGATTTTTTTTTTTTGTCATAGAGATATAAAGGATATATGTGGCTGTTGTATCAGCACACAGAGAAAAGGTTTATTGTTATTGAAAAGAAACATTGGCCATTGAAACAATATTTATACTACCCACTCTTCGCCTAGTCGTGGGTGGCACAAGTTCCTTTGTGTCTTGCTTTCTTCTATGTGGAAGCTTAATATTCACTCTTCCGTATTTCATTATGACATTGACTTATTAGTTAGGCCGCCCGTCATTGTTTATTTGAAGTGAATGCAGGTTTCTTGCTTTTCTGAGTTTGTATCTTAATGGTTGACTTATTGTAGGCCGCTGGATAAAAGCATCAGTTAAATGAAATGTTACGTGTATAATATATAATGCTGTATCATGACTACATGCAGTAATGTATATCCAACTGAGTTAAAACTGGTCTAAAATCATATACATCTGTTTACATGAGAACACAAAGGGGGTTTAACTAGGGATGTCCCGATCACCTTTTTTTGCTCCCGATCCGATCATTTGATTTTGACAATTTGCCGATACCGATTTTTCCCGATCCGATCTTTATGCAATGCATTAAGAGAAAAAAAAGCATTCAAGTTGTCCCTTAAGGTTATTTTTTTATTTAAATTGGATATTCTATCCAACATGGATATAGCTTCTTTCTTTCACAGCAGCATTGGATCAGTTCAGTTGTGCAGCATTGGATCAAAACAAAATGAAGCTTTCAGTACTCGTTAGCTTACTGCTACAATTAGACACTGCGCCCTGCCCACTCTGTTGCCAGATTTGAGAGAAATAAGCAACCAGGTCTATGAAAACAAGCCCCAAAGAAGC